AGCCTCTAGTGTGGTGGGACGGGGTCCGTGAAGGTATCGGGCAGGGGACACGAGGCAAGTGGCACCAGTGCCTCCACTAGGGTCCTTAGTATGTCAGGTACGATATAGCAGGAGGGAGGAGCGGAGGCGGGGAATGGAGAATGGGGAAGAGGGAGGGAAGGAAGGAGGGGAGAAGAAGAGCAGGGACGAAGGGTGGAAGGGAGGAAGGTATCGTGCCACCCATGTCGGGCAGGTGCGCAGGCGATCATACTTTCCACGGAGAGGCATGAATGACGCTTCCAGACACACCAGTTCAGACAAAGACGGCAATTCCTTGCTCCTTAGTGCTGCAACAAACGTGACCCAGAACCCCCCCTGGATGCGTGATGCCAGCAAAATTGCCTACGCTGCGTCAACTCGCTCGACAGGTTACGTCTTTCGGTCAACACCATACCCCGAACCAGAACCCAGGATACTCCTATCTCAAACATATCCCGCCATCGACGGGAAGATCTATCAGCACGAAGAAGGCGCGTCGATCTGCCTTTCGAATCTCTTGGCCAGGCTTGGCTCAAGGAACTGCACAATGGCGTCAATGGCAATTGGCCACGCGGGCTCCCAAAACAGGAGCCAGTCGGCAAACCCGAGTCATGGCGGCGTTCGTCCCGACTAGGAGATTGAGTTTTGAAGCCCCCCCGGACTGTTTTCGCCTGTGTGTGTCGTTGGTGCCTTTCAGCTACCATGCCTTCTCCTCGGAACTGCAACATCTCGTCATGCCACCCGTCGGCTAATACCAATAATGACCGATGACTTCGGTTTATTCCGTCCATTTACTAGGGAAACAAGCCTTTGGCAGCCACAGCCACGGCCCGCCACGAGGGAAGCCTGCAGCGGCATGTTTCTCCCTTTCTTCCAAGCAGGTGGCCATGTCTTTGAGTGCTTCCGCAACAAGACGTTAGCCACGAGGCACACCAAATTATTGCTAACATCGAATCAATGCCACCTTTGAAAGCCGGTGTCCCTGCTTGGCAGCGTTGTCGGGCTTGGTCCGCTCGCAAATCGCTCAGTCCCGCAACGCAGGATCGACGCTGCATCCCATCAAGGCAATCCGACAGGAAAACGGGCTTCAAGAGAGTGTGTGACCACCAGAACAAGCAGGCCGCCTGGTCGTGATTGAGGCTCTAGCGGCACTTCGACGGGGGGCGCCCGGTACCCAAACCACACTTCCGATGCCGACCTAGCCGTCTGACACACACTACCCACACCTCTAGACCCCAAGTCCCTTTGAATGGCCAATCAAGAGCCCTTCTGAATTTGAGAGCGCCGTGTTCGTCGAGGCAATTTGGCGTCACGACTCGTGCCATTTCAGCCGCTACCGGAGTCGAGGGACGGTCGTCTGCCGTCTGATCCGTGAAAACCGGGGCTTGGCATGGGTCTCCGACAGCGCCTTTCCCGGCTTGGCATGGACGTCCACCCCCGGACAACAGCTTTCTTGTTCCATTCTCGCGCCCTCGTTGGACGGAACTTGGCCGACAAATCGTGCAACAATGGGTCGACCATTTAAGCATGTTTTTCTCGCGTTTCTGCGGAGCCAACGTAGCCACCCATCCCTCTCCATGGGGGTTGGGGGGCTTATTTGGGGGACTCTCTTGGGGGGCTCAACACAACAGGTCTGACCATCACACCGCTTCTCATTGGACCCAGACCTTCTAGACGCCGACCGACGACCGACGACCAACTCAACGTTGCCAGGGCCTCCGGCAAGCGAGATGGATTCCACGCGGTCCATTATCGTCGCCACCGGACCCCCCCCCCCCGGGCCCCCTGCCTTGCCCGTCGTCCCCTGCCCGGGCATGAGAGTGGCCGGAGGAATGACCGACTGCTGCACCACTTGGACCAGTCATGAGACGACTTACTTCACCAAGGCTACTCCACACGCTGCGTGCGACTTGTGAGCGCGGCGGACTTCTCAGCGCAACCTAGTTGTACCATGTAGGTCACGAAGTGGGCGTGTTGCGCGCGAGTAAGTCTATGCAACCATTCCTCAGATCCGTCTCCATGGGGGAGGCTTCAGGTCCCCACGATGCCCTAGGGGGCATGAGGGGCAGAGGGGTAAGACAAGCGGGGTGGTAGCACCAGAGTAGATGTCCAGAAAGAAATAAAAAGGATGGAAGCCGCATCCCCCCAAGTTGGTTGGGGCAGAACAGCTTGGTCTCTCATCTGAGTGTTTAGCCTTCTCGACGCGCCTCGCCTCGCCTCTCCACTCTCATTGATACTCTTCCTCCTTTCATTCTCACAGACAGCCCAAGATGGCAGGCGGCGTCAAGAAGCCCGTGAACATCTTCAACTTGAGGAACCTGGGCGAGCCCGAGGGAGTCTTCAACTGGCGACTATGGTTTGCCGTCGTCTCCTTTGGCCTGCTCGGTGCGGCCCGTGGTGTTGACGAGGGTCTCATTTCGGGCGCTTTCAAGTCGAAGGACTTCCAGCGCTTCATCCACTACGAGAACTACGACCATGTCGAACAGACCAACATCAAGGCCAATGTTTCGGCCATGGTCCAGATTGGCTCCGTCGGCGGCGCTCTCATGTAAGTCGACGTCACACGCGCACGCCCGCGTCTGATCCTTGCAATGCCGAATCTAACTTTTTCAGTGCTTTCCTCATCTGCGACAAGATCGGCCGTATTTGGGCCACACGCCAGCTCTGTGTTGTCTGGGCTATCGGTATCATCATCTTCATGTGCAACAACGGCCACCTCGGCGCCGTCTACGCGGGCCGCTTCATCGCCGGTCTTGGCGTCGGCCAGACCCCTGTCGTCGGCCCCGTCTACCTGGCCGAAATCGCTCCCGCCTCAATCCGTGGTCTTTGCACTTGCATGTTCACCGGTTTCGTCTATCTCGGCATTGTCCTCGCATACTTTGCCAACTATGGCTGTCAGCTTCATCTCGGCGACAACACGCACAACCGTTGGCTCGTGCCCACTTCGCTCCACATTATGTTTGCTGGCATCATCTTCATCCTCACCTTCTTCCAGTACGAGTCCCCTCGCTTCCTCGTCAAGCAGGGCAAGGTCGAGGAGGCCACTGCTGTCATGTCTCACCTGCGCCACCTGCCTGAGGACCACGAATACATCGTGCGCGAGATCAGCGCCATTCAAATGTCCCACGAGGCCGAGCTCGAGGCTACCCGCGGTGCCAGCTTCCTCGGCAAGATCAAGGAGATGTTCCTTGTCCCCAGCAACCTCTACCGTGTCTATCTCACGAGCATGGTTCAGATTCTTTCGCAGTGGTCTGGTGCTGGTTCCATTACGCTCTACGCCCCCGACCTCTTCGAGATCCTTGGTGTCACTGGCCAGAACGAATCGCTGCTCGTCACCGCCGTCTTCGGAATCGTCAAGTTCTGCGCCGCCATCATCTGCGCCCTGTTCCTTGTCGATGTCATCGGCCGCAAGCGCGCTCTCCTCATCGGCATCAGCCTGCAGGCTATTGCCATGATCTACGTCGCTGGGTTCCTCACGGGCATCCCCCAGCTCGGTGTTGTCGACGGATTTGAGGTGCCGAAGAAGGACCTCGGTGCCAGCCGTGGCGCCATTGCCATGATTTACATCTCGGGCTTCGGCTGGGCTCTCGGCTGGAACTCCATGCAGTACCTCCTGACTGCCGAACTTTTCCCTCTGCGCATTCGTGCCCTTGCCACTTCGTGGGCCATGACCCTTCACTTCAGCAACCAGTACGGCAACTCGCGCGCCGTGCCCAACATGCTCCTGCCCACGGGCCACGGTGGTATCAGCCCCAAGGGCACCTTCTGGTGCTTCGCAGCCGTTACCATCATTGGCGGCGTCTGGGTGTGGTTCTTCGTGCCCGAGACTGGCGGTCGCTCGCTCGAGAGCATGGACAGGCTGTTCGATCTGCCCTGGTACAGGATTGGTCTCTTCGGCAACAAGGATGCCGAGGAGCAGGATGCCATTTACGATGAGAAGGCCGAGGCTGCTGTACACAACATTGGCCAGTCTGAGCATGCGGAGAAGAGGGATGAGCGGAAGGAGATTGCCTAGGTGCACTGGTGTTGTAGTAGAGATTCCCTTATGACGCTTGATGACTAGACTAGGATTCGTTGTCAATCGAACCAACTGATTCAAATTCACGGCTGTATCGTGCAGAACCTAGCGCATGTGAATGATTATGCGGCATGCACGCGCCCGCAGACCTAGGCGGCTCACAGGAACGTCTGACGGGTTGTCCGGCCGGTGCGCACCATGTTGGCAACAGCGTCCTCGGGGCCTTCGCCGGAACCCGTTTGGCGCTCTTCGATCCCACAAATCCGGTTCCATACCACAGGGCAGGTGCGAAAAAGGCGCCATACCACACCAGATCTACGTTGAAAGCTCACCCACGCCCAAATTACATACAGTCCACTGCTTCAAGAGTGCTTCCATGTGATGCGGTGGGCGAGAACCAGGTAGGTGATAGGTCAGCTCGGGCAGGGTAGGGGGTTTGGCGCGCAAGGCGTTCCCGCCGCACGAGAAGTAGTTGTGAGAAGTGAGTGTTTAGGTCTTGGGCAGATATCCTCGATGTCCTGTCGGCGACTATAGTCTTCGGAGTAACAAATTACTCTAGAGGATACTGCCTCCCGCGTGGCCAAATACCGTGGTTTGGCGTCGATGAACGTCCCCGTCAGTCGCCGGTTCAGCGTCGCACAACTGACCAGGTAGATCGTGGCAGCGGACCGCGCGTTGCTTGGATGCTATATCGTCTTTGTTATAGAAACACACGTTGCCACGAAGATGGTTGCGAGGTCGCGGCTGGGTTGGCTCATTTGCTTAGAAATACGTGAATAACAAGCTTTCGGCTCCGACGTCCGAGAGAATCTGATTCCTTGCCACGTGGACACATCACGACTGGCAGACCAACACATAGACCTCCTCGCCGTGGAAAAAAAACAACAGATTATTCGATCGCGTCCTGACGATGGAGCAACGCGGCGACGATTCTCCCTTGGATGCCGATCCCCTGCTTGCAGACGACCCCGACGACGACTTCGACCCTTTCCCTGGCGGTGAAGTCGAGGGCCAGCACTTGATAGGCTTATCGTCCTCACAGCGCCGCGCACAATGGACGAAGAGTTGGGCTGCTTGGCGGCGCCTTGGTCCCAGGCATACCTTGGACGCTTTCCGACCCACGACTCCGTTCACCATTGTCGTGCTGCTCGCGTGTCTGAAGGCGACACTGTTTTCCAGCGGCATTCTCTTCCTGACGCCCTTGTTTCGCCTGGTAGAGGATGCCATCTGTCATGTGCACTACCAAAAGGACCTCTCCGAGCCGATTGAGGAAAAGGAGTGCAAGGTCGACGAGATCCAATCGCAACTGGCGTACCTGCTCGGCACTGGCGCCGTGATAGGGGCACTTGTCACCCTCGTCGTCGCTTTCCCCTATGGTGTGCTCGCTGACAGGTGAGCTGGACCCCCCCCCCCCTTTTTTGTCCTTGTACTTTTTCTTTTTCTTTCTTTCTTTCAGTGGGATGGCTCGGGAATGCCTCGAAAACTGACGAACTCGCAGACTTGGCCGCAAGCCCGCGTTTTTCCTTGCCTATCTCGGTATACTGCTCGGCTTTGGATGGGCGCCGTTCGTCCTCTCGGTATCGAAGCAGCCGAATCTGTGGACCCTGCTCCTGGGTCAGTTCTTCTTCCTCATCGGCGGTGGCGTGTCGGCGGCCGTGAACAGCATCTACGCCATGGCATCGGACGTGAGCACCGAGGAGAACCGATCGACCCACTTCCTCTACCTCTCCATCGGCGGCGTCATCGCCGGCCTCGGCGTGCCGCTGGCGTCGGGCTTTCTGCTGCAGACGTACGGACCGTGGGTGCCCATCAAGCTGGTGTTCTATCTGAGCCCCGTCGTCGTCACGGCGGCCAGCCTGCTGCCGGAGACGCTCCCCATCCAGCTGCCGGGCGGGCGCGGCGTCCCCTCGCCCAGGCGGCCCCTCGCGGCGGCGGTCCGACGGCACGTCTCCTCCCACCTCGCCGAGGTCGCCGGCATACAAGCGCTGCTGCGGAACCGCAGCCTGCTGTACTGCCTCGCGGCGCCGCTCATCTCGAACGCGAGCTCGACGTCGCACTCGACCACGTTCACGCAGTACATCAGCAAGCACTTCGGCTGGTCGCTGGCGCAGACGACGTACGTGCACTCGCCGCTCGCGCTCTGCCACCTGCTCGTGCTCGTGGCGCTGCCGCGGGTCTCGGCGCACCTCCTCACGCCGCGCGGCGGGCGGCTCGGGCTGACGAGCTTCACCAAGGACCTCCTGCTGACGCGGGTCTCGTACGGCGTGCTCGCGGGCTCGTCGGTGCTCCAAGCGCTGAGCCCGTCGGTGGTGCCGTTCCTGCTGACGTACGCGCTCGGCATGCTGGGGTCGGCGACGGCGCCGCTGACGCGGGCCATCACGACGGCGTTCGCCGAGAGGAAGGAGCACACGTCGCGGCTGTATGCGCTGTGCAGCATCGTCGACACGCTGGGGTCGTTCATCGGTGGGCCGGTGCTCGCGTGGAGCTCTCGGTCGGGATGCGCTGGGGCGGCGTGCTGCGGGGGCTGCCGTGGATGTAACTCGCCGTGCTGTACGCGGGGCGCGGGGCGCGGCGTTCATGATGGTCGGCGAACCGCGGCACGCGGAAGCTGCCGCTGGAGACGGAGGGGGGCATGGGGTATGAATCTGCCGCCGAGGAGGAGGAGGAGCAGGAGGAGCAGGGCGAGGGACTTGGCGCGCGGTAGGCGACCGAGTCATGCCTGGGGATGCAATTCCATTGTCCGTCTCTTGTTCGTCTGCACGAGGAGCCGGGGACTCATAGGCGTGAGGACACACACGGCTTCTCTGATCTCGCGGTTTCCGTCAAGGTGGAGGGAGCATTGCCTCCATTCTCGCTGTGTAGGTGAACGACGCCCTGAACGCAAAGATGCCAAAGTCAGTGACAGCTCCTTCCACGTAGAACAACAGACGCGTCGTGCGGTGCAGGGCATCGGACGGTGGTATGAAGAAGCCCCTTCGATGGTCTAGGAAGCAAGAGTTCTGCAACATGATCGTGCAGAACTCCACCAAAAACCGAGGTACCTAGCGATGAGCGTTCATGCCAGATGCCGGTCGGTGACGGTGGTCGCTTGAATCATGGTTCTCCGGGTTCGTAGAAGGGTCCGCGACATGGTAGAGTTCTGCGAACACGAGGGTTTGTCCCTCAAGGTGGGTGGTTTTGCTCTACACCTCCACTGGTGGCGCTAGTTAAGGACTGGCGAGCGATGGGGCATCATCGTCGCATTTCTGAATCCTCTCACCATTTTTGGGCTCGACTCGATCGCGCAAAAACATCGCAGGCACCACGAGCAACACCAGCACCAGCACCAGCACCAACATTACCAGCGCCAACACCACCAGCACCAGCACCAGCACCACCAGCACCACCACCGCGCAACAGCACATACAATCTCTGCACGGGGTCTTCGTCCCCTCCATATCGTGCGCGCCGTTGCGCTTCTTCCCGCTCCTGCCCCGCAACACCCACCACACAATGACGGTCGACAAGGGCATTCAGCAGAGCCCCCACAGCACAGTCATTCCAACAATTACTCTCACGACGCCAGAGGGCGCACAGCTGGCGTGCCCCGTCCCCTCCGGCAGCCGTGACAAGAAGACGCTCAATCGCCGCCCCTCGCTCTCCGCGTCCCAGCGAGAGGGCCTCCTGTGCGTGCCGTCGCGGGGCACGACACGGCGCGACAGGATGAGGACGGACTTGTGCGACGAGTGCACGGCCTATCGGTGCCAGAAACACCAGCGTCGCGCCGCGTCTGGCCCCGACCTTGACGCCATCAAGACCATGACCGAGACGCGGACGAAGGACGAGGCCGAAGGCCGCAGGGTCGTCACAGGCGCGGCGCGTGCCAGTTCGGGGCCGGCATGGTTGAGGATGGGGGCGCGAGTTGCGCCGAGGGGACTCGAGGGCAGAAGGATTCGCATCAATGGGCTGTGGTACTATGAGAATGTCGCGCGTGCCGCGTAGGGTCCATTCTGTGTTTCCAGGCTCGAGGTGGTGTTGGGGGGGGGGCGATACTGCGTTGAGCGATATAGTCTTTATGCTTATTTCTGCGTTTCTGCGACTTGGAGGCATGATGCGACTCGGCACAACAGGGCACGACGATACGAAGAATGGTAACGTAGAACGATCCCTGTACAGCTGCACAGGAGAAAAGAGATAAAAAACCAGGCAAGAAATAGGACAGTTCGACCCGCCAGCCGGACGGACGGCGGCAGGGAAACCCGCCAACGATGCCGCGACGACGTTTTGCTCCGTGCCAAGCACTCCCCCTCAGGCTGCCCCCGGATCCCTGTCCTGGGGGGCTTGCGCCAATGCGACTCTATCGTCTGATGTACGGTCTCTGCAGGCGATCGGCAACCCTGAACGGTGCCCGCACGCCTTGGCGGGCTTCACAATGTGGGGGGAACAGAGGGGTATGTAGAGGGGCAGCGCGGGCGGACGTGACGAAAGGAGCGCGACATGGTGATGTCGTGGTGCTGACTGGGGGAAAATCGGGTTCACCTCCATTTATTCTTCGCCCCCCTGCCCTGGCGGGGGGGGGGGGGGTTTGAGAGAGAGAGTTGGATGATCATGTGTGTGAGGGTATATAGATGGAAAGGGGTTGATCAATTGGCGTCCCCAGCAGGTCGAGTGGCTTTCCCGACCTGACAATTGACCAGAACCGCTCGACGATTGGCGACCCATAGAACTCGGATAGAGAGGACAAAAGAGAGGACAAAGGAGGCAAACTATACAATCCGATCGTACAGACCCACGAAGCAGGACGAGTCAGCGAAACCATGTCCCTCGACGCGCACGCGCAGGCCCTCGCGGCGTCGCTGGCCAAGGCCAAGCTCGTGCCCGGCTCAGCCGACGGCCTCATCCCCGAGAACTTCCAGCCGGCAACCAAGCTCGACGTGGCCTTTGACGGCAAGGCGCTCGAGCTGGGCACCTTCTTCCGCGCCGGCCAGTGCAAGGTGCCGCCGAGCATCGCCTTCGCCGCCGAGGAGGGCGCCGCGGCGACGACGTCGTACCTGCTGCTGCTGACGGACCCCGACGCGCCGACACCTGACAACCCGCAGTTCGCCTTCTGGAGGCACTGGGTCGTGCCGGGCCTGCAGCCGCTGAGCGATGGCAAGACGGTCGTGGCCGAGACGAAGCCGGCGCTGACCGAGTACCTGGGGCCGGGACCCAAGGATGAGTACGTTGCGCCTGGTGTGGCCCTGTCGTGTCGCTCCCCTTCTCCCTGCATGGAGAGTGCTCTGCATGGCGAATGCTCTGTATGGTGAATGCTGACCTTGTCGTGACGCACAGCTCGAAGCCGCACCGATACCTGTTCCTGCTGTTCCGCGAGCCCGAAGGTCTGCAGCTGACCAAGGAGGACGTCGGCGGGGAGGAGTTTGTGCAGCGGCGGTCGTTCAAGCCGGCCGAGTGGGCTGCGAAGCACGGATTGAAGCTGGCAGCCGTCAACTGGATGACGGTGGCCGGCGATGGCTGGAAGGAGGAGTGAGCATTTCGTTCGACGAGTGCAGAGCTAGACGGCACAATAGACGGTCATTCTGCTGCGACGACATGTGCATGGTTGCCAAGGGCTGACTGATGTGAGGATCATATTCTCTCGTCACTGAAGCATGTGACGATGTTTGGATCATCCGTCCCTTCTAAGAGAGAGCCTTGAAAGCAGGGTTGTCGAAAGCAAAGTGGTCGACAGCGAGGTAATCGACAGCGAGGTAATCGACAGCGAGGTCATCGACAGCGAGGTCATCGACAGCGAGGTAATCGACAGCGAGGTAATCGAAAGCAAGGAAAGAGGTTCGATGTCAAACGAGAGTCGAGCTGCTGGCGATCGAGCAAGACGCAAGACGCAAGACGCGAGACGCGAGACCCCCCAAATGGTCCGTGCACAAGCTCCAGCTCAACCTCGCCCCGACCTCGACGCGTCTGCTCTTGCCTCTGCCCTTGCCTCTGCCCTTGTCTCTGTTCTTGTCTGTGTCCACCGCCAACTTGGGCTTTGCTTTTCTTCATAGCATGAGACGTGCTGCCTTGACGATGCGTCGGACAGTCTTCTCTTGCTGCGGCGAGAAAGATATCGGGTCAGGCTGAGGCCGACAGCTCCGAACCGGAGGTGAAGCCAACACCCATGCCAGTGCGATCATCATCAAAGGCCAAGACACGCTCTCGACCCCTGGAAGACGCGTCGCCCAGCACGACCAACAGCAAACCAGAGCAGTCCGACGATGGAGAATCCGAGGAACCCAAGCCGAAAAGGCGAAAGACCGCCGTCCGGAAGAAGAGCAGCAACGCGCCATACACCAGCCTTTTCGCCCAAGGATCACCCTCACCCTCACCCTCACCCTCACCAACGGCTGTACCCCCGCTGCGAAGACACGCGTTCGCTACCATCGCCCTCTCCTCCTCGACAGCGTCTCACACCGCCGAGACCTTCTGACATGGTTCGATTCCGTGAGCCCCATCCGTCAAATGCCCTGGCGAAGCTTTTCTCCCGGCCCCCGTCGCCGTGCCGGACTTCAAATTCGCCCCTATTAGGTTGAATCATCGGAATCATGCTGCAGCAGACCCGCGTCGCCGTCGTCATAGACTACTGGAACCGCTGGACCGCCAAATGGCCCACCATCCAGGACCTCGCGGCCGCCGAGCCCGACCACGTCCTCTCGGCCTGGCGCGGCCTGGGCTACTACAGCCGCGCCACCCGCATCCACGAGGCCGCCCGCCTTGTCGTCGCAGACGACGAGATGCAGGGCCTGCTGCCCCAAGACGTGGCCGAGCTCGAGAGCAAGGTCCCCGGCGTCGGACGCTACACCGCCGGCGCCATCTCGGCCATCGTCTTCGGCCACGCCGCGCCCATGGTCGATGGCAACGTGCTGCGCGTGCTGAGTCGACAGCTCGGCGTCTTTGGCAACGTCAAGACGGACAAGACCACCATCGACATGCTGTGGGCTGCCGCCGATGCCCTCGTCAAGGCGGTCGCCAGCGATGGCGACACCGGCGGCAGCAGCCGTGACGATCAGCCCCCTGTGAGCGATCGGCCGGGGCGGTGGGGACAGGCGCTGATGGAGCTGGGCAGCACCATTTGCACCCCCAAGCCGGACTGCGCGCAGTGTCCCATCACGGCGAGCTGTCGCGCGTATGCAGAGGGCCTGGCGCTCGCAGACCAGTCCAAGGCCGCTCGTGTGCCGGACATCGAAGACCCGTGTACATTGTGTGCGTCGTTTGCCGATTCAGAGGCCGAGCCTGCCGTGGCAGAGAAGTCGGTCAAGAAAGGGGCAAAGCAAGGGACTCTGTCTGCCTTCTTCAACTCGTCGTCCACAAAAGCCAAGAGCGCTCCGAACATCGACTCGAAACCGACGCAACGCCAGATGGAGACCATTGTTGAGCATGCCCGCAAGTTTCCTCTCAAAGTGGTCAAGAAGGCCGTGCGCGAGGAAGACACCCTCGTCTGCGCCATACGCCGAGCTGATGGTTGCTTCTTGCTGCATAAGCGGCCTGAAAAGGGGCTTCTGGCCGGGTTGTGGGAGCTGCCTTCGAAAATCCTTCCCGACGGAGCTCAGACTCCGAGCGCGCGTGTCAAGATGGCCAAAATGCACGTCGCCAGCCTCCTGGGCAAGCAGGCGAGCCTCAAGCATGCAGGCGAACTGGGTACTGTGCCCTGGCTGTTCTCGCATCTGAAGCTGACGATGCATGTCCATCTTTTTGAGTTGGCTGGTCCTGACCCGACTTCCGGTGGTGAGCGTTGGGCGACAAGTGACGAGGTCGAAGCCGAGTCGATGGGGACAGGCATGCGCAAGTGCTGGGCTCTGGTTCAAGACCACGACGTTTGAACTGTGCTTGACCTAGATGGCCGTTGAAAGTTTGAGTGCGTTGCACAGACCGGAGTGTCCACCATTGCCGTCTCTCTCATTGCCGCCCATCGATTCGGCGATCAGTGGAACGCAGACGCCTTCCCTGCTGTGCTTGTTGTACACCATACATGGTCGCAGTCAGGACGCAGAAGCCCTGCCCCCGCCTTTCCAGACTTCACTTCGAGCGATCTCGCAAGGTGCTGCAGGGATGCCATCCAAATCCATCCAGCTCACCGCCGGTGAGAGCATCATACCCCTTTTAGGCAGGCTAAGGGACCAACCCATCACTATGACGATCGTAACATGCACTTCACCAGCTGGTGTTGATGCCAAGGACCCGACGACTCCCTCGCTCACTGGACTCAAAATTGACGATTCGCCCAAAGTCGACACCAGTTACCTCCCCGAAGTCGATTGGCGAGAGAAGTCGTATCCCGAGACTGCATATTCTTCACTTGCCGAGGTCGTCGAGTTCCCACACGAACCAGAGAGCAGGTACGCTCGCAGCAGAGAAGCCCTCGGTCGAGTCCAAAACAGCACCATTCGAAGCATCATTCATTGGAGACAGGGGTAAATATTGGTGGCAGAGGTGCAAGATACCGCTGCTGCTCATCGCCATCGTCTGTGCTGGCGTAGCTATTGGATGCGGCATAGGCGTCGGTCTTGCAGCAGGCAAGGGCCATCCTGCCAGCGACGGCAGCGATGTCTCGTGAGTCCTGTGCTGCTCTCGGTCACCCAAGACAGGGCACCTATCCTAGGGGCAGCTCAAAACCCTCATCGCTCGTCCAGACGGCGCCCTCTACCTCCCACGCAGTCGCATCGTCCTCCAACGCCCGACATCCTTCGCCCACGTCAAGCGTCTACCTCGCGTCTCTGCTCCGCGGCCCAACCCTCCTCAGCAGCGCCGCCCTGCTCCAAGACGACAACAGCACGACCTGCAGCTCGGCCGTCCCGTACGTGGCCCCGGGCCGTGCGCCCTGCGACCAGCCCTTCGAGCTGAGCGCGGGCTTCGCCTACCGCTGGCGGGGCTGCGGCCAGCTGCCGACCAACGTGACCTGGGCCGTCGGCGGCGAGGCTGACGAGACGCGCCTCGGCGTCTGCGGGGATGTCCCTCCCGCGGCGCGTTGGGACTGCGGCGCCGGGCAGACGCTGGCGACGGAGTGGCTTTGCGGGCCGGCGACGCTGTGAGAGTTGGACTGCGTCGGCCGGTAGGAAGTTGGCTCGCCCCCTGTGACGCGCGAGAGAGAGGAGCAGCTGGGGCGTGGGCGGGACAACGGCGTTCAGCGTCCAACATCAAGTCGACCGGTTCCAGCACTCGGGTGGAAGGCTGGAGTGGAATGATCAGAGTTCCCGTGCTTCTCCTGTATTGATGGATCCCTCGTGACGTGACATGACATCCTGCACGTCGCTGTGTTGGTGGGTTCGCAGGCCTCTGGGTACCGCACGAAACAGCTGCTAGCTAGACGAAATGACCCAAGGCACCAACCTCTCAGCTGTATCGGCTCTTCGAATCTTTGCCCCCGAGAGCCGTGTGCACATTCAACGACTAGCTTGGTCTGGAAACTTGTTGGGTGTGATAGTCATGATTACAGCGGCAGGTGTGGCGAGCCTACGTTCAACTTATCACGCGGCCACATGGGCATTTCAGCCGGTACAGCAGAAAACGGGAGCATTCAAAACGTTTGTCATTGCCAGGCAGACTTCTATGCACATAATCACAAATGCCATGCCCGTCACAGATCTGATCTCGTATTCAATTCAAAGCAACCCCCACCTCCACCCTCTCCCGGCCTCACTTTGGCCCGAAGCCAGGGAACTTGTGCAGCCAGCCCTTGGGGGAGGGCATTGGGTCTGGCTGGTACTGCGGCCGCCCCAGGCCGGCGCCCCAACTTTGCCAAGAGCTCTCAGTATCTGCGCCGCTGATGGTCGTGTGAATCGTTGGTGCCATCGAGGGTTGCCGTTGGGGACGCATGGTCCGCAGCGGAGGCACGTCGTCCCTCGACGTTGGGTCGCGTCCGTAGAATGAGAACGAGGATCGGTGCACGTCGTCGACGGGAAGTTCATATCGGCTTGAGGGAGGTCGGATGGCCGGTTCGGGGGGCTGGACGAGCGGCTCCATGTCGTCATCCTTCTGCATGGTGCGGGACTGGAAGAGAAAAGGGACGACCGGCACAGGGGGGGCGGAAGCGTCGGCGGGTACAGCGCGCCGGACGTCCGACAAGGAACTCTGACGGCTTGACTGGTAGGCTTCGGATGGAGCATTTAGCCTCAAGGGGTTGAGACGGTTGACCCAGCTTGCAATCGATGTGCGTGCGTTTGCGGCGAATCCAGCGGGCGGCGCCTGTGAAGCAATAACGTGAGGTCCCTTTTCGACGTATTGGTTCTGCGAAGGCATCGACTGTTGGGCTGGGACCCCTTGGTTGTCGGCGTAGGCGGCCGTCATGAGTTCACCCATGAGGCTTGACGGCGCTCGGCGTACGCTCCGCTGGTCGAGGCGAGCAGCAGCCTCCTGCGTAAAGAGTTGGCTCGGTGCCCTGGAGGCGGGGGGCGTGAGCTTGGCCTTCTTGCGACTGCGGCGGCGCATGCACCACCAAATGCCCACTCCGATACAGAGGAGGACAGCAGCCGCACCTGGCACGTTGTCAGCCTAATCTTCTGGGTACATCATGGAGAGCCAGCCTACCGATAGAGCCGAACGCGATCCCCAACTTCGGGTCGACCGTCCGCCCAGCGCTGTCAGATCCAATCTGAGAAGCAGCATCGGCAGTTGCTTGGCTAGAAGATGAGCTGGAGGAGCTCGACTCGGTGGATGAAGAGGACGAGGAAGACGTTGTATCGGTAGAAGAAGTCGTCGTTGATGCCGCCGTCGTGATGGTGCTGAGAGTGCTGAGCTCAGTTGGCCGCGGCTGAGAGTCCGAGGACGTGGTTTCGCCAGCACGCTCCGTCTCACCCGCCGCCGGTTGTTCAGCAACAGGCGGCCTGATGGGGTTCGCCACGACATCTGTCGGTCCAACGTTCGGAGGCGGCGCGGCGGTACTGGAAGGGAACGAAGTCGTCGTGGGCGATGGCGAATCGATCTCATCGGAGGAGCTATCGTCAGGGACGGGCGGCTCAATGGGCGCCAGCTGTCTCGGGCGAAGACGACGGTAACGCGGGCGGCGTTCCTCTCGGCTGGGCGGTGTTAGTCTTGGATCGTACAAGAGATGATAGAAGCTAGTTGACACTCACTTCTCCAGAAACCAGAAGCCAATGGGTTGTTCCATGGTGTCAATGAATGTGGTGTATCAAAACGAATGGAATACAGATGACCAGGCCAGCTGTCACGATGAGAAGCGAAAAGAAGAGATGGACGGGCAACAACAACAACAACAAGTACAATAAAAACAAGAAAAGAGCAAATGGGCACTGCCCGGGTCTTGGATCACGAAAGGAAGAGAGAAACGAAACGAAGACGCATCACGACTGGATGAAAGGCAACTTGGGATGGAAGTAAGAGAAGAGGTTGGTTAGTCTGATGATGAAATGGGGTTGCAGGCGTAGCAATGCGAGATGACACCCGAGCCATGTCGACCTCAGACCTATGGCGACTTCGGACACAAGCAAGTTGTCGTCTCAGACCCGTCATGTTGGCGTCGAGGTCGCTGTCAGTGTCACAGAGCCACGACGCCGTGGGGCAGACAACAGAGTAGAGACGAGGTGGCATTGTGGGTGGGCTGGGTCTGGCCGTTGACGATGGGACGGAGTGAAGACGCTGGGGCGCTCAGGTGTTTCATCATGGCAACTCTTACAGACGGCAGGTCCCATCGGGCCAGCCAGCTTCTCTGCAGCTTGCTACGAACCCCAGGCAGGAGCCGCCGGCTTGCAGGGTTCTGGCCTGGGGGGCAGGGGCCACCCCGGAGCCACCTTTTCTTTCCACTGCACCCCATCCTGCCATTGTTGCGAGAGCCTCAAGCCTTCCTCCTCAGTCAGGAGCCCTCGAGAGACCTGGAGCGCACTGCGCACTGCGCACCAAGTGCTGCTGAGCACTAGAGCGCTGGGGGGAGGGCTCTCCACTGACTCAGCGGATCGCTCACCTTGAGATGCCCCTTCCTGCAAACATGAAGCACCAGGGGTCACAGGTAGCGCCCGTCATTGGCTGCTAAGTAAAGAAGCGGGGCTCTTCCGTCGCGTCGAGCTGCCCCCTTTCGAGCCAACAGCCCCTTCTCCATCACTACTCCCTCAGTCGTCCTCAGACAGATCATCGCCAAGATGAAATCGGCCTCGTTTCATCCTCGGCATCGGACTCTTTTACAGTTCCTTGGCGGACCCTTCAGTTCCTTGGCGGACCCTTCAGTCCCTTGGCCGCCAGTCAAGCATTCGAGGCCCACTGACCTGCCTCTGCCGCCTGGGCAGCCGATGATCTCTGCACAAGACACTGAGCCAGCATCAGCCTGGGGTCGTGTCTTGATCGATGCTTCGCCCGTGTCGGGGGCACGTAATGCCGCGCCAGACGGCGTGCCCGAAAGAGGGACGCTCGATGTTCGACTCAACCACCTGCTTACCTACAGAGCACGGTCGAAATACCGACGCGGACCGGGCTGGACCAGCTGCTTGAATGATCCTCAGCCGCGCCTTGCCTTCTCTACATTATGCTGCCAATACCCCACAAAGACTAGACTTGCGAGCTGGTCGTTGCGAGCCGATACGCTTCTCTCAAGAAAAAGCATCCCGGCATCCAGCATGAGGCTTCGAGTCAGCGCTGGCAGATTCTCAAACCGCGATCGTCTGCCGAGTCAATTGTGGTGTTTGCGAATCGCAACGTTATCGGGAGCATTGGCTGGTCGCTTGATCCCCCAGATTGCCGGCTCGGCATTCAACCTTGGAGAATCAGAGGTTCGTTGCAGGGGTCTATAACCTGCCGGAAGGCCACGAACCGTCAGACGGCAGTGACCCGAGGCCACGCCCTGACACTCAATCTGAGAAACCTACACTTACAGATACAGTCCCAACGCTCCTGTTAACCGTTAAGGTTTCTACCACGCGAAATAAACTTCGCGATCACGCAACGAAATAATTCTCATACTGGTCGCCCTGTGGCCCCGCGATATGACTCGGAGGCCATTCAGGGTCTGTCTCCCACAGCGTCTCAAACACGTACTCGCCGCTGCCCACCTCCTGGTCTATGCCCTCAAGCACCACGTGCGCCTCTGCATTTGGCGGTACCCTGAGCCGTGTTGTCATCTTGGACCCTTCGCATCTCCAATCCACCTCATATGGTCCGTAGGGCGAGTCAAACCATGTCCGAGCTGACCTGACCGTTCCACCCGGCTGCGGCTTCACCAGCGCCTTCCTCCAGCCTGGCAATGCTGGCGAGAGCCCACCCACCACATTATGCATGAACGCGCAGACCGACCCCAGCGCATAATGGTTGAAGGACGTCATCTGGCCCGGGTTGATGGTTCCGTCCGGCAGCATCGAGTTCCAGCGCTCCCAGATCGTCGTCGCACCCATCCCTACTGGATACAGCCAGCTGGGATTATCACGCTCCTGTAACATGCGGTACGCAAGGTTCAGCATGCCGTTGTCCGCCAGCACCTTGAGGATCATGGGCGTGCCTGCGAAACCAGTCGTGATCTTGAACTGCTCCCAACGAGTCAAGTAGTCAAGGCGCCCGCATGCCGTCGCCATTTGCTCGTCGTCAAACAGCCCAAACTTCAGTGCAAGCGCATACGAAGTTTGTGTGTCGCACGCTAATCGCCCTGTCTTCGTTACGTACTCGTCTCGGAAGAGATCCCGCAGGCGAGCAGCGTCTATCTCGTAGCGCTCTGCCGCCTCAGCCTTGCCCAAGATGCGGCCAACCTTGCCTGCAAGGTCCGTCGTACAGATGAGATATGCGTTGGCTACCATGAAATTGTCTGTCGGTCCATTACCTGGCATATGGGCTGGTGCGCGAGGGTCCAGCCAGTCGCCGTACTGTGGCGATTTGGTCGAGTAAAAGCCTTTTTCATCGCGCGGTACCCCCAAGTCCAACCATAAACGCATGCTCTCCCATTGCGTCGCGAGCTGGGTCTTGTCGCCGAAAGCATTATACAGGTCCCAGGGTGTAATGACGGCGCAGTCTGCCCAGATTGCCATCGGTCTATTTTGTCGGTTGTCGGGCGGTTTGGGGATATTGGGAATAATGACTGGCACTACACCGCCAGCATCCCTTTGCTCAGCCTCGACATCACACATCCATGATCCTAAGAAAGCGGCCGTGTCGTACAGAAAATTGGCCGTCGGTGCAAACACTTGGAGGTCTCCAGTCCAACCCAGGCGCTCGTCGCGTTGCGGACAGTCTGTGGGCACTGAGACAAAGTTGCCTCGCATTGACCAGACCGTGTTGGCGTGCAGTTTATTGAGCATGCCATGGGAGGATTCGAACCCACCGGTGCGACGCAGGTCCGAAGAGATGACGACGCCCGTGAAGTCATCAACGCAAACGTCATCGTAGCCCGTGATCTCAGCGAATCTGAAGCCGTAGAACGTGAACCGTGTCTGGGCGTTCCTTGTAGGGCCACCGAGCTTCAGGGTGTACTGACTTTTTGCAGTGCGAAGTGGCCTTATGCCTAACTCTTCGTGCTCCATTACTTCGGCATGCCTGATAATCAGGTCTCTGTTGTCTGGCGTGCTGGATATTGTTTTTTCGACTCGCAGCCAGCCCACAAAGTTCTGGCCGAAATCCAGTATCTTCTTCCCGCTCGGCGTCGTGACGATCCTTTTCGCCTTGAGTTCCATCACTTGTCGCACTGGAGCGACTTGGGGAGCTATGAGCTCAGCTGTAGGAAACGGCAAGACATGAGCACGCCCTTTGGCTAGGGTTGTTGCCGATGTGCTTGACCATGTCGAGTCTTCAAGATTGCTGTCGCAGATTTCGCCGTTGTACAGCTCGGAACTGATGAGCGGGCCCTCGAGATGGTCCCAGCTGGCGTCCGATGCGCAAACCACCTCCCCTTCGATCTCGACTTGACCGAGAAACCCTAGCCGATTGCCCCAGATGTTGGCGACACCGGGTCTGCCTAGTCTCGTGGCGAACCATCCCTCAGCAATGTGAGCTCCGATGACGTTGTCCCCCTCCTGCAAAAGGGACGTCACGTCGTACGTCTGGTAGTGAAGACGATGCCGGTAGGACTGCCATCCTGGCGCGAGCAGATGGTCGCCTACCCGCCGGCCATTGATCTCAACCTCATAGACGCCGTGAGCCGTGGCGTATAGCCGTGCTGCTCCAGTCCCGGTGCGTCGAAATGTCCTCCGAAGTCGAAATGGGCGTTTTGGTCCCGGGCCTGGTGGCGGACCGGAGATGAGTTGGGCAGACCAGTCGGAGCGGTACAAGAGCGCAACCTCAACACTTAAGCTCGCCCAGTCTGTGGATTGTCCATCGCGCCCCGTAGCGCGGACTTCAATAGATGCCCTCTCCCGCGAGGCCAGCGGAGAAGATGGCCAAGGGACGAGGATGGACTCAGGTGAAATTATATTATATGATTCATCTTGACCGTTGCGCGATATGCGCACCTCGTAGGACGCCTGCTTCCAGTCTCTCACCGTCGTAGCGTTAAAGCGCCATGAGAGACGAGGTGTTGTGGTGAAAAGGCCGAAGCCGTCATGGTGGTGCTCGGCTGTGACCTGTGCGATGGAGACAGCCATGTCGTCGGTGCTTTGGAGTCTGTGCCTGGGCTTGGGTTCATGAGCCGCAAAAGGGAATGACTTCTCAATAGTTGTACCTTGTTCCAAGCTTGGACAGGCTTTCGCTGATCAAAGAGCTTCAGCGTGGGGTTATCGTTGCTTTGGCATTCTTCGCAGCATTCGACAGCTCACGCCGCCGCCGTGGACCTCGCGCTTTGTTATCGCGAGACAACGGATTCTTGTCCGTCCACCGGATTATGGACTGAGATGATGGCTCTGGCCCGGTGTGTTTGTAATTCAACCGCTTTCTGCCGCTGTCCCTTCTTCAAATCCCACCAGAGACGGCGCCAGGGAGTGGTAGAGGCCCACGATGTCCCCTTGCGCTGTAACGAGAAGTGGCTTGCCGTTGCGGGAGCTCAGAGCTGAACGCGAAAGACCAACATAGCGGCATGAAGGGACTTGACTCTGGCTGGTAGATGGTGACGGATAAGTCTCCTGGGGGTTTACCCCGGATTCTGGTGTCCTGGGGTTCTTCCCCGCGGTGATGGTCTGACTTTCTCTCCGCATCAGTGCCGGTTAGCCGGGAGTTTGGCTCGTGGGGTTGCCAGGACTGGAAGGGATGAGCAACGCTCTTGGACCATCCGAATGCAACATTGGAAAAGCTGTCAGGCCACTGCTGTAGATATCCTCCGGACCGTGGACTCGGTTGAGCTGTCAGCGAAGTGGTGATGTTCTGGGGTGCACGGTGCAAACTTTGGTAAGATGTCATGAAGGATCTACAGGGTGTTCAAAAAGACCATCGACCCAGAGCAAACATATTTGGAGACAGGAATTGGATTATGCTCAATATCTTGGCGCATGATGTCTGCTCAGACCGACAAAATTGAAGCAAGCTCTCATTCTGGTGGTGCCGAGCACCATGACAATGATGTCGATTTCAAGCATGAGCCCGTCGTGCTCAAGTCAGACCACGATGAACTAGGCCTCTGGGCTACTGTGTGTCGGTTCAAGAAGGTGACGTATTCGAAAATATATAAGTACTCTAGGCTACATCCATACTGACGCGAAGAGTAGGCGGTATTCATCTGCAACTTGATTGCTATCGCAGCCGCAGCCGATGGCTACCAGTACAAGTTGAACGGAAATATCATTGCTAACAAGGGCTTCGTTAACCGCATCGGCTTTCTCAATGCTGCCGGTACAAAGCACGTACTCAACGCCCAGCACACGGCGCTCTGGGGCGCCATACAGTCCCTCGGTCAGCTCGTGGGCATGCTCTTCCTCAACCCCGTGTCGGATCGCATCGGCCGCAAGATGACCATGTACGTCCTCTGGGTCGTTCTCGCAGGTGTAAGGCCCCTTTTCATTCTTGATGGAACCAGATTAAAAGGGGCTAGCACTGATCAAGGTCGTAGTCCCTCACGCTCGAGACGCTGGTCCGCGACTGGCGAGACTGGTCAGGCGCCAAAATCCTCGCGGGCGTCGGCGTAGGCGCCCTGCAGTCGACGCTGCCCATCTACATTGCCGAGTGGTCGCCGTCGAACATTCGCGGGGCCATGGTCCTCACGTACAGCTTTTGGAACACGATTGGCAAGTTCCTGGCGCCGCTGACGCTCCTCATCTGCGAGAACGCCAACCCACAGGAGTACAAGATTCCCATCGTCACGCAATGGGGATTCCTCGGCATCATGCTGCCCATCTTCCTCTGGTTGCCCGAGACGGCCCATTACTATGCCGAGCGCGATCTCGACGAGAAGGGTCGCGCATCTCTCGACCGCGTCAACGGTCAGGTGCCCGCCTACGATGTCGACGCCGAGTACGCCATCATCAAGAACCTCGATCCTCGAGCAGCGGCGACGACGCCACGAGCTGGAGGAAGACGACGGCAGCAGCCGAAAGGGGTGGAAGGAACTGGCTGACTCGTACGTCGAGTGCTTCCGCGGCTCGAACGCGCGACGCACGCTGGGCTCGGCGCTGCCGGCGTGCGCGCAGCAGCTGACGGGCCTGTCGTTCACTGAGCACGTAATGCGTCGCTCTTCTTCCGCCAGGCCGGCTTCGCGATCCGTTCTCATCACGACGGTGCTGACCGTCATCGCGCTCGTGACGTCCGTGGCCCTGATGCTGTGGACGGACCGGTTCGGGCGCCGCTCGTCGTGTTCGCGGCGGCCTGCGTCTCGACGCTGACCATGCTCGTCGTCGCCGCCATCGGCCTCGCGCCGACGTCGCCACCGCTGCGCAGCTTCTGCATCTTCGTCGCGTGCGTGTGGTCCTTTTTCAACAACGCCCTCGGCTCGCTCGGCTGGGCGTTTGTCGGCGAGATTGCGTCGCAGAAGTTGCGTGCGCGCACGGCCGGGCTGGCGGCCGGCTTGTCGGTCGTTTTCGGCTTGACCTTCAACACGGCGCTGCCGGTCATGCTGGACACGGAGGGGGCGAACATGGGGTACAAGACGGGATGGCTGTTCTTCGGCGTCGGTGCCGTGACCTGCGTCGTCGTGTGGTTCTTTGTGCCGGAGCCGTCGCGGCGGAATAATGCTGAGATGGACGAGATGTACGAGAAGGGCGTGCCGGCTTGGAAGATGAAGGATTACGTGACTGATGTGCAATTGGTCCAAAGGCAGGCGAGGGGACGTCACGAGGAGGTCGCTTGAGGGGAGCGCAAATGACGATGACCTCTATAACTGGCGATACCCTGTACATGGAAGACAACCTCGAGGACATGAAATCGAGGAATAGAAGCGCAAGCAAGGGCCAATGAGCTATCACAGAGTTACCCCTGAATGACTAGAAGCTGCAGATCAGCCATGCATAGGAACGAACAATGAAGAGCTTGGTATCCTCTTGATAAACTTCCCTGGTAGCAAGACGGCATTTTTCGTGAGCCCGATAAGACATAACAATACATACAGCACGGTCAGCAAGCATGCAAACACTCAGAGTACGTCGTCAAGGCGTCGTTCGTCTAAAATCAACAGACTACGTGGCAGTCTTGGGCCACAACACCATCACCACCAGAGTCTTTTTTGTCATGACAAGTCATTGCAGTTTGCCGCCTCCTCCCCACGCCGTCGCCAGCACGCAGTCGTCCGGCAGTCCCATACCTCCGTCGCCTCTCGTCTCCTACATCAGAAGCTGACGCAGGGCCTCCTGCTGCTCGGGCGTCAGCCTCTCGGCGATGTAGTTCGAGATCTGCCCGCCGTGCGTGTTGTTCGCTGAGTTAATGTACGCGCTGACCCAGGGCGCCACGGCCGTCACCTCTGGGTAGTCGTCGCGCGTGATCGGACGGCACGTGTTGAGCGCTGTGTAGGACAGGCCGAAACCAATGTCGTCAACGTCGGCCTCGGCGATGAACTCGTCGCCGACACCGCTTGTCACCACGGGCGGGTTGACCAGGAGCGTCAGCAGGAGACCGACGGACCGCGCCCAGCCCTTCTTGAACTCTCCGCAAACGCCTTGGACTCGCACACCGTCTTGGCAAGACTGATGACAGCGAGCTTACGGTCGACAGGGTTGGCCAGCTTCTCCGTGTCGGCGAGGATGAAAGTGGGGTACACGTTAGCAAAGAGTCCTTGCGCCAGCTGATTCGTGTGCTGGACCACATAGTCGGCGCCGAAGCCCGCCTCTTGCCGCGCCGAGACCAAGTGGTAGAACCGGACAAAACGCAGCTTGAGAGACTCGGCAGGCTGGCCCTCGAGCTTGGAGTACATGAGCTGCAGAATGTGACCAAAGTATTGGTTCAGCGCGTTCCTAGACTATGGTTAGCTCGAAATATTCCCATCAGAGGCAAATATACGTACGGCTCGAACGTCTTGACGACAGACTCAATCACGTCAAAGCCGTACAGCTGGAACTTCTTGGTGCTCAGGAGACGCTGGTAGATACCCAGAACTTGCTCCAGAAGGTTCTCGGAGACGATATAAGACTTCGTCGCCGGGATGATGGCCGAAAGCAATCTCGTACAAGCAGGAACGTTACCCTTTGTGTCCCAAATGCCAGGCGCGAGCAGGGGTGCCAGGAAAGCCTTGTAGTTCTCCGAAATGGCGTCTGCTGGGCTGACCTCGAGCAGTTGTGCCAGGATCTGGAAGACGTACTGCTGGAACTCTATGGGAAGAAGTTAGCACGATGCATCAATGGGAATGGTGTAACTCGATCGACTAACCCGTGACATCCTCGACAAGGATCTGGTGGAACGGCTCCCACAGCTGCTGGTTGAAGAGGCCAGCATTCGTGGAGGCACAGTACCTGACGAGGGCACCAAGAGCCTCGAAGTGGTAGTAGTAGAAGCGGGGGTTGCTGGGGTTGGTCTTGATGATGTTGGTGATGAGGATGAGGTGCTTCAGGACGCGCTCAGCTACGGGCGCAGCGCCGTCCTTGATCACGATGAGCAGACGCATGACGCAGCGCATCAGGAACTCGTTCTCTTGAAGCTTGGGCGCCGCCGTCTCCTTCTCGATGAGTTTGAAGAGGTGGTCCAGGAGATCCTTGGCGAAAGGCTCAATGTCCTCTCTCGGGAACACCTGCTTCCCAGAGTCCTCCGTTAAAAACAGCACGCGCTCCACAGCAATGGCTGCATATGTGTAGACGACGTAGTTGTCGGACGCCAGATTCTGGATGAGAGGGTTAAAGGCGACCTTCCACTGGTCCTTGTTGAACTGGCTGCGGAAGGTGTGGAGGTACTTGATGGCATCGACCTTTGGCAATGGGCTCCCGCTGGTCTCGTCAGGTCGGCGGCGATGTAGCTGCTCGAAGAAGTCGACAACGTTACTAGGGGGTTGACAGTCTTGACACCCCTGGGCCGCCGTGCCGGCGCCCTTGGACGCAATCGAGATGAAGAGGTAGACGGCCGTATCCTTGGCCTTCCAGTCCGACTTTCCCTGCGTAAGGTAGTGGTTGATGTACTTGCTAACAACACCAGTCACGAGCTGCTCAAACCTCTCCTGCAGCTTGCGCAGGAAGTCGGTGGCGGCGCGACGCCTCGAGTCGGTATCGGAACCCTCCAAATCCCTGCGGATGAACTCGATGGGCTCGTCCTCGAACATTTCCATGTCCGACTCACGCAAGGCAACGTTGGGCAGGATGACCTTCTCGACAACCTGGCCCAAAACATCCTCGCTCGCAAACATGGACGAGTGTTTTGTCGTACCGGCAACGGCGGTGAGGAAGTGCAACGCCTTGCTGACGATCTGGTCGTACTTGGTCTCAAGACCAGTGGTCGAGAGGAGGTTCCACGCGCTCGTGATGAAGGGCTGGGTGTAGTTGGCAAAGTCGTCGTCGTACTTGATAACGTAGAGCTGCAGGACTTCGCAAATGTCGGCCTTGACCGTGTCGACGATACTGCCCTCATCATCCTCCTCGGTGTTGAGGAGGGGATTGGCGTAGGTCAGGTACGT